ATTCATTCATTCATTCATTCATTTGCGGTGGGGGGTCGCCTCCCCCCTGCGAACACAAGAAAAAAAAAAAAAAAAGTGTGATAATGTATATTACCGTGTTCTAGAGGTAGATTCATTCAATTTTTATTTTTTTTTCGATTACGAACTTTTTTCTTAAATTTAAAAAAAAATACTAAGGGGCCACTCGAGACCCCCCCTACCATCCCTGGGGTCGAACCCTCCTCCTTCCCCCTCACACGGGCCCCTGGCACGTTCGGATGAAGACCGTTTGTACGCCCGTTAGGCCGTCTGTTCGTCCGTAGTCACGGGCCGTATGGAGACCCCCCGTACGACGTACGGGGGACAACACTGCACACACACATACACACACACACACACACACACACACACACACACACACACACACACACACACACACATACACACTCACGCATGCGGGGCAATTGCTCGTTTTTTTTTTGCTACCAGATTGTTTTTTTTTTTTTTTTTTTTTTTTTCAATTTTTTTTTAAAGACCAAAAAATGAAATGGTTGTAGATCGTTTCGAGATCTACAACCCCATATTTTTAGTTTATTTTTTTGATTTGTTTTTTCCCCTAAATCACCATCGCACGGTTGTCGTCCGTACGCGCGTACGCCCGTTCGTCCGTTCGTACACATAGGTCGTACAAAGACCCCTCGTACGACGTACGGGGGACGACACGACGCCATGGGAATGAACCAGCAAGTGTGAGGCAACTTTCAAGCGTTTGAAGCATGCACTCACTCACCATGAGGTTGTCATGGTATCCGACCCGCAAAGGCCGTTTGTTGTAACCACTGACGCAAGCCAATACGACATTGGCGCAGTGCTGGCTCAGCAGGAAGGGAAAAAGTTGAGACCGGTCGACTATATGAGCAAAAAGATGCCATCAAAGAAGTTGGCAAAGTCCACCTATGAGAGGGAACTCTATGCCCTCTACAAGGCACTTGTCCACTGGAGGCACTATCGGTTAGGAAGGTGCTTTTATTTGAGAACTGACCATCAGACCTCAAGTGGATCAAGACACAACGGGTTCTCTCCAATCCACTCAAACGCTGCATTAAAATCATACATCAGTATGATGTATGATTTCAAACTAGACTATGTGAAAGGAGAGTACAACAAGGTTGCGGATGCATTGTCTCGCAGGGCAGATTATCTAGGTGCACCGATTTACGAGTTTGACCTTTCTGAGAACGTTACTGGATCCTTGGGGGAAGCCTATAAGGAAGACCCTATCACGATGGACAACATCAACAAACTGAAGGCCAAAGACAAGGCCACCACTGACGAGTTTGTGATGGTGGGTGGGTTACTCTTTCTTGAGAAGGCAAGGTTTAAAAGGTTGGTTGTTCCATTTAGACAGATTTTGCGGTTTATTTTTAGGTGAGTGCCACAACGCAACAGGACATTCCGATTATAAGAAGACAAGTGCTAATTTAGTACAACGATTTTGGTGGCCTAACATGCTGGACGATGCAAAGAAGTACGTTCAGACCTGTCAGATCTGTCAGCGGGACAAGCCGTGTACTCAAGCTCCGCTTGGGTTACTAAAGCCTCTACCCATTCCTGCTGGTCCGGGACAGAGTATCTCCATGGACTTGATGGATACCCTCGTGACCAGCAAGAGTGGCAAGCGACATATCTTCGTCATAGTTGATACTACTTGATAGGTTCACTACGTTTGCTAGACTAATTGCCATGCCGGAGACCGCTAGGACTGAACACGTCATCAAGATATCATGGATGATTGGGTGCATGACTTTGGACTACCAAAGAGGATCGTTAGTGATAGAGATGTGCGTTTCACAAGCGAGATGTGGAAGAAGGCCGTTGAACAGATGGGCAGCCAACTCCAAATGACTTATGGGAATCATCTCGAAGCCAATGGGCAGGCTGAACAGATGAACCGGGTGGTGCAGCATCTGCTGAGGCATTGTATTAAGCCCGGCCAGGAAGACTGGGATGAGAAATTGCCTCTCATCGCCAGTCTATACAACAATGCTGTACACAACACCACCGGGGTCACCCCAAATCAGCTGCATTTGGGGTGGAAGCCTAGATCTGCACTAGACTTTCTCCTTCCTGAAAACCAACCTGCTGCAACTCCTGGAACCATTGAGTTTGGTGCCCAGTACTAGAAGCGGCTGCAGCAAGTGTCGAGAACATCAAGAAGTCTTAGGAAGCAATGATTGCTTCTGGGAATAAGCATCGCCAACAGTCCATATTTCAGGTAGGGGAACGTGTCTGGGTTAAGGCTAGTGAACCGGGACAGGAGTTCGGCATCTCTAGGAAACTAATGCCTCAGTATTTCGGTCCTCGGGAAGTCCTGGATATTGTGGGTAATGAGATGGATGGTTCCTCGTACGTTATCCGTATCCCTGGTCACTTACGCACTCACCCTGTGTTTCATGCCTCAACGCTCGCTCCTTTCGCTGAGACAGAACAGTTCCCATCAAGGAGATCTATGCTGCCCCCAACCATGGATGGTCACGTGGACGTGGACGATATTCTGGAGCATAGAGACATGCCTGTTCCCAAGCCAGCTGGCCGGGGTAGACCGCATAAGCGTGAGCGAGAGTACAGGGTTCGGTTCAGGCATCATACTGATCCTAAAGAAGATAGATGGTTCACAAGGAACTTGTCAATACAGATCCTCAAATCGTGGCCGAATATGAACGGAAACTGAAGGGGAAGGCACCAGCTTGAAGCATCTTAGCGGACGTTCGAAGCTAAGGGGGATGGAATGCGAGGAATGAGCCCTCGCGGGGCCTTATCAGACATGCATATGTTCAAGGCAGAGGCCCTCAGAAAGCCCAGTGCCCGCCCTAAGTGAAGGCGGGCCTGATTCCGCCTGAATATTCACTCAAGGCCAAAATTTGACATTTTTATACGTGGGTATGCAGGCTGTGGCAGCACGCTAGTTGGTTGAATAGATGTGTGAGGCTCACTAAGCTGCATCGTCCAGTTGGCCCAGGCCTAGTGGGTTGCGCCTGGGCACATACACACAATGCAGTGCCGAATACATTACGGATTGGCTTCGGGCCTGTGGGAAAGAAGCACTGTCTACGTACATGCCCCGGGATCCTGTGTAGGTGCAGCAAACCGCCCGGGTCTGAAATAATGCAAGTGCCCAACTGTAAAGGGGCCCAGGCCACCAACTGCCATGCTGAGCCTGGGCGTAGGTACTGGGGCCTGACTGGAAGCTACTGGAAGCTTCCCAGCCAGGCCACACGCAGCATCCAGGAGGCTGCCACTTCCATATTGGAAGTGAGGCAGTCCAGGCAAGCGCATTCGGGGCCTTGCAGGCAATGTGGTCACGCTGCTGCGCTGCTGCATTGGATGTTGCGTTGCAGCGAGTGAGCTTGCGGGGTGCATTGAGGTGAGGTGGGGCGCTGCAGGGCAGCGGAGCGCGGGGAGCCATAGCCGGGCTGCTGGGCGCTAGGGGGTAAGAGGGCGATTGGTGGTCTTCAGGAAGGAGGAGAGTGTGTGGGTGATCAAGGTCTGATGAGGGTGATGAGATACATACCTGGTGAGTGAAGAGAGGTCGGCTATGGTGTTGACATCATGTACATTGGTCTTCGAGCATCAAAGTGAGCCTGTTGCGTGAATACAGCTGTAGGTAGGATAGTCGAGTAGAGTAGGCTGGGCGCTGGGCGCCAGACAGAGATCAGCAACGTTGAATACTGTGTTGGTGTGGCCTGAGGGCTTGAACATTGGCTCATTACTTCATTGTATTGCTCTATTTGGATGGATTCTTGGTGCGTTTGTGCTCTCTGCCTGTACACGACTACTTGGACATCTGTGCTATTTTGCAACTCTGTTTCCTGTATATCGTTCACACGCATATTCCTTGCAAATGATAATTAAATTAGGAAAAGAAAAAAGTCGGGCCGTAAGGCGACCTGTTGGGGCCGAACACCCCTTCTTTCTGTGGGTTAACGGTTTTAAGCATTTGTCACAAACGGTCTCTCCTCGGGTAGCCATCATCACACCATCATCTGCATGAAGGGGAGAGAGAGAGAGAGAGAGAGAGAGAGAGAGAGA